CGGCGCCCAGGTCGCCAAGAGGATCAAGCCAGCACCATGGAGGCCAGTATCACCATGGAGACCCCAGCTGGCACCAAGGAGGCTTCAACCAACTCCCAGGAAGGCTCCAGCATTGCCACGGAGACCCTGGCTGGTGCCAAGGAGGCTTTGGCCTACTCCCAGGATGGCTCTGGCATCACCACAGAGATCCCAGCCAGAGCCAAGGAGGTTTCAGCCTACCTCCAGGAAGGCCCAGTTGTTGCCAAGAAGACCTCCATCATCGCCAAGGAGACCCTGGTCGCCAAGGAGCCCCAAGTCATTGCCAAGGAGCCCCCAGCCACTGTTAGGGAGCCCATTAACAAGGAAACCTTGGCCATAGCTAAGGAAGCTCCAGCCTACACCAAGGATGGCCCGGTCCTCGCCAAAGGGACCCTTGGCAATGTAAAGGATGGCTTGGCCCTGACCAAGGAGGTTCTGGCCTATACCAAGCAAGGCCTGGCCATCACCATGGGGCAGGGAGCCATCACCCATAGCAGGGAGCGTCCAGGTCATGTCAAGGAGCCTCTAGGTCACATCAAGGAGGCTCCATGTCATGCCAAGGAGCCTCCAGGTCATGTCAAGGATGCCTTGCCAGCCTGCTTGGAGGCGCTCAGTGCCCCCCGTGACCTCTCTGGTGGCATTTGGAGACCCCAGGGGCTCCAGACAGATGAGGCCTTTACCACCCCAGCTCGGGCACCCACCAAAGCACTGAGCCCAGTGCAGGAGCACGAGCAGGGCCAGCGGGGGCTGGCGGAGGGGCCTCCACCCATTGTGGTGGAGCCCTGGGGGGCCCCTGAGCCCCCTGTCATCCCAGAGCAGTGGCTAGTGGAGGTGGTGGAGGAGCACACAACCCTGGGGTCCCGGGCCAAGCCCCCCAAATGCCTCTGTACTGACGGGGCCAAGAATGGGCTGGGCCTCCCACGCAGGACCCCAGCAGAGGGGAAGGGGCAGGGTCCCCCTGAGCCCAATCGGCCCCTTCCCACTCCCCTGGAGAAGAAAGGGGTGTGGCACTAAGGGGGAGCCTCTTGTGGGGGCACATGCCCCCCCACACGTTTGTCCATGCTACTGGGACACTGGCCAGAGTGGGGAGACCCTAAGTGTGGGGGAACACATTAGGATCCCCACCCTTTCCACCCTTCCTGTTGTCAAGGGGGGAGGAGCCCCCTCAACTATCCAAGCTCCCTATCAATGGGGAGAAGGTGTGGAGGAGACCCCTGGATCCCTGAGTGGTCCAGTGGCTCCACCCACTCTGCAAATGGCATGTCCTGTGTGCATTAGGCCTTGTAAAGTACCTATACATATATAAATATCTGGTATACATATATAAATATATATGAGACAATACCCTATCCACTAATGGAGCTATACTGTGATCACCCCCCTGCCCCACCACCCCATGGGGGCTGCAGTCACAAACCTAGCCTTCTCTCCGACACCCTACTGCCCCAAAGTTGCCCCAGTCCCCAGATCTCATGGACAGGTGGCAGGGTAAGAGGTAGCTGCAGCTCAAGCCTTTGGGGAACGGAGGGGGGTTAAAGTTGGGGGGCGGGTGGTCATGTCCCATATGACACCCCCCC